AAGTATTTTGCCTAGTTCGGGCAACAGCGTAATGGGCCGGAGGGACTTGGGATCCGAAGGATCTTTGTCCGGGGCTTTGAGGATGGTAATCAGCTGACCTTGTTTCCACGATCTTGGGAAGTGCACGAAGTATAAACAGTCTTGGTAGAGCCTTAGTAAGTAGTCGCCAATCTCAGGGTAAACGAGCTTGATGAGGTCACTGGGGACTTTATCGTGGCCTGGGGCTTTGCCCGATGGTTGACGGGCAATTGCCACGTCTAAAGAGTCTTGGGTAAAGGAGGAGTCTATTGCTAGATTCCCCCTTGCTCGGTTCGCTCGAGCTCTAGTGCCCCAGTGATCAGGGCTGTCAGTCTCAGCCGTATCGTCTGGCGAGAGACGGTGGAGTATGGCAGAGAGAGTGGAAGGGTGGTCAAGAGTGTGTGTATTCTCATCCTTGATGCCATGATGGTAGAGAGACGGGCCTTTTGGGAGAGCTTGTAGACTGCACCCCAAGGGTCACGTTCCAGCTGGTTATGGACGAAGTCCTGCCATGACTGTAGCTTAGCAGAGTCAATTGCTCTTTTGTACTGGAGTCTTATTTGCCTATAAGATGTTAGTAATCTTTCTGGAGCCTCTCCGCGGTGTCGCTTAATGGTCCTCCGGGCTGTGTTAAGCCGGCGACGCAAGGTGGACAGACGACCTGTCCACCAGTTGGCCTGGCTTTTCTTTACCGACACTCTGCGCAGGTGACGCTCACATAGGTCGACTAGCATTCGCGTTAGGTCCTCCACACGACTCCCCAACCCTTCAATGCCTGGGACCCACCTCTGGTCCATCTCAAGTACCCGAATTAAATCGGTGGCATGTTCTTTGATTTAAGCTAGGTTGGATCCCCTGAGAGTGTATTTAGTTCGTGTAGAGGATGGTTGCGCGCAGTTTTGTGTTATCTGCTGAAGTAGATGGATCGGCTATCCTTGAGTGGATAATATGAAACTCATCGCATAAAATTTATTAATGCCATAAATAAGTTGATAATTGTTGAATCCACAAAATCTACAATAGATTGGTAAAGATGCAAGGGATTTCCACAAAGGATGATCGTTATATTGAAGGACTGAATATATTTCTGCAAACAGCCATGTGGTGCTTAGTCGGTTTTTTTTTTAATTTTTTTTGCCTCGTAACTTCCGCTGCTAATATCGTGATTTTGTATGTGTAAAAGTGTAATAAAAGTGACTTCCGCTGCTGATATAAGCTTTATTGAATAAACTCTAAAAAAGACAAAAATGATAGTGATGGACATAAGTGAATGAAAAGACTATAAGTGAAAAAAGAATCTAAAAGTGACATAAATAATAAGAATTAATAAACTATAAAACCAAGAAGAAAAGGAGAAGCTATAGGTTATCCTAGACTCGCTTTTTCCAGTATAATAATAATAAAATACAGCTGGCTAAATCCCCGAAGGGAAAGGCCAATCAAACCAGAGAAGAAGAAGAAGAAGGATGGTTGCGCCCTGACGCATACTTCGAATGCTATCACCCTTTGATCGCTCTGCACAAGGTCGGGCTTGACAACCCAGTTATCGAGAAGCCGGAGGATCCCACCTGACGCAATCGTCACGTCGATGTTGCTCGACCCATTGAGACTCCAGAATGTATGTGGCTGATTGGGCTTGTTTATTACATGCAAGTCATAGCTTGCTATTTAGTCCTCCAGTACTAGACCTCTATCGTCTGATCAGCCAGAAGGCCATAGATGGGACTTGGCATTAAAGTCCCCTGTCATGATGATCTTTCGCCCAGCCAGCTCTCTCGCCACGCGATCGAGCTCGTCCACAAGTTCCTCAAGGTCGTCAGCCGGGGGGCAATACACATTGACCACGTATATACTCTCTCCACTCAGAGTTAGATTGGCGACTACAAGATATGGGCTACAGCGGTGCTGAAGGTGTAAGACGTCTATACTTGGATTACGCACAACTATTGCGCTGTAAAATCGATCGTGGAAGTCAGCGAGCACCTTAGTGCCTCGTGAGAAGCCCCCGATTCTAATAGAATCGGTGGTGGGGTGGCGATAAGTATATGGCTCCTGTAACAGGAGAATGTCCAAATCCAGCTGTTCTGTTATCACCCTCACCTCAGTGGTAGCCACCCTAGAGTTCTGGAGGTTGACTTGTGCGAACTTAAACACTTGCTCCTCATTATTCATAATTTGTATTCTGCACTGTGGCCTCGTATTTCCTGATATAAGCCGGGCACTTTGCGAAGTTGGCCTCGTGGGTGATAGCATCACCCTTTAGTTCTAGGCGGACACAGTTAGCAGACTTGAGTGCCTCAGTTTTAGGGCAGGCATTGGTGTCGTGCTCCCCAGCACAACGCCCACACTGTTTGTCAGACTTGCAATCTTTGCCAAGATGTCCAAACTTCTGACAATTGTAACATCTGAGAACCCTAATATGATCGGATACTCTTAAGGAGTTCCAGCCAACATAGAGCCTTTTCTTGTTTAACAGTTGGAGCCGTGCCTCCGGAGAAACTTCCACAATCCAGTGGACTGTTGGCTTCTCTTTAGGTCCAAACTTATACTTGACCTCTATCTTGTCCATTATTTTCGACCGATCTTCGGGGTGCTCGAAGTTTTGTTCTAGAATCGCGGTCTTCAGTGTCTCTGCGGTGTAACTAATCGGGACACTGTATAAAGCCAGTCGCGGGCTCAACTTGGAGTTAGCCTGAACTACTAACCCTGCCCTCTCCAGCTCGGCTGTCGGGATCTTGGTGAGATCCGAGCAGGTCGACTCGATGCGAACACCGAGCTTTCCCACCCGGGTCACCTTGTCCAGTCGCAGTCCAAGTTTTTGAGGGTTCAAAGCTTTCATTAAGGCACTCTTTGTTTCCTCCGCAGACTTCAAAACAGTATTACCCGGTTTCGGTACTACCGTAACAACTGTGCTTTTAACAGGAGTAACGGATTTGCCAGAGGGCATTTTGACCCTATTCTTAGGTGGGCGGGCTGCGGTGGCTGCTGCAGCGGCTGGAGTAGCTGGGACGAGACGAGGCAGCTTCGGTGACTGACTTGACCTGAGTGGCCATTGTGTCGCACATCTTGTGGCGTGTGGACAGATATCCATATGACATTGCAAGCCTGTGGAACATGATTTCCATTTTGGTGAAGTCAGACAGCATTTCGGCCTTGACCACACTAGATGCCTTGCTAAGGCTAAGCTTGAGGTTGGCTGCTTTCTTGTGCTCTGTGAAAGTCTTAGTTAGTCTGTCTAAGACTTCCGGCTCTAGGATTTGGCCTATTGGGAACTCGTCTTCGTCCCCGCTACTATGCCCCTGGGAGCCAATTCTTGGGCGTTTTCTCGCAGCTTTGGAAGTTTTGGACTGTTGGCCATCGTCTGCGGCATCATCGCCGGACGTGTCCATGCCATGGTCCGAAACTAAGGACATGTTGGGGGGGATGGTCCGGCTTTTGCCGTCCCGAGTCTCTTGGCCGTCTTAGGAGCTTATGACCTACTTGTGGGCGCTATGAACAATCCACAAGCAGGAATTATCGCCTGAAGATCGTTTCCACCCTTTGCCACGTGGAGGCGGACTCCCTTTTACTTGACGTATTTCCGTGTTGAGTCTATAAGTCTCAAGAACCTATAAAGGTGTGGCGACAAAATCTCTCAAATAAAAAAAAAATTAAATCGCTTTGGACCTTGGTTCTTTAGAAGGGCTTATTCGCTTATTGAAACCAGTGAATTTAAAAAAATTACAAATAAAAAAATCTTACCAAGGTTATTGAAGAAGGGGCCGATCCATACTGCAACCAATCATTGTTTGATACGTTTCATAGCCAAATTTAAACATCTTACTGTGTGACACGGTGAGGGCGTCGGCCGCGGCGGCGAAAGCTGAGGCGGCATGGGCGAATGCTGGGGCAAAAGTTGGGGCGAAACCTGCGTTCCTCTGGAAATTATTTCCGAGGATGATGATTATCATGAGGAATTCGGCGACGCAGGCGGTGAAGAGGACGGCACCGCAGGCAGCGTAGCTTTTGCTAATAAACGAATTATTTATTATTATTTTCATAATACTTCTTAGTCAGCTTTTTAAACTTCTCTGCATTGGTTCTATTAAGTATTCCCTTTAAATCTGCCTTCATTTTTTTTTGATTTCTTGATTCCTTATCTAAAGAAAAAACTTGCTTATAACAAAAATAATTTTATTACCTAATTTTATGTTACACAGAAAAATTATATACAAATTTTTGTAAATTTATTCTTACTTTAGATCTTCATTGAATAACCCAATTCTTAATAATATGCCAGCTACACAAAAGTCTTCTTGGTGCGTTTTCCATTGCGGTTACCCATTCATTGTGGTATTTTAAATCATAATCTGTCATAAAATTCTTGGGCTGTATCACTCCTTTAACTTTGTCTCTCAGCGCCTGCAAAAAAACCTCTTGAACTACCTGATCTAATTTATTACTTAAAAATAAAGCCACTGGAAAACCCATATTTCTATAATCTTTTACGAGCATGATAATTAAATCCATCCCCTTTTGGTTTGCGCAGTGTGTTCCATGACTGTCCCCCCTTGGTACAGAACAATTTATTTGGCAAAAATAAGTCGCTCTAGTCTGCCTGTCCTCCATACCCGTTTAAGATAAGAAAAAAAATCACCTTACTTTTATTATAAACAGATACAAAAACAATAAACTTTATTTAGTATTGAAAGGGATATTGATATGAGTGGAGAATGATGGAACTTTATTTGATGATAAAGTAGACTAGTGGGGAGAGTTTGATGATAAAAATGTCAACATGCTGTTTTGAGACGAATTTGAAGCTACTGGGGATTGTCGAAAAACTGCATTTCGAGAGTTCTGTTACTTCTCTATATCATTTAATTTTTCTCTTTTCTTGTCTGTATCATTTTTATTTTCTATTTCCAAATACTTTTCGTCCCTTGCATCGGATATTCTTTTTCCCTTTCTTGTTGAGAAGTTGTGGACGAAGCGGATATAGATTATGGTTGTTTCTCTGACACATTAGATGTTATCGATGTGGATGGCGGAACTTCTATATCGGTATCTCTTGTGTCGTCATCTTCTATTTCAACGTCAATTTTATCATCAGATTGGTGACAGGTTGATAAATTTCCAGACTTAACTGCTGGAGTCATCACATCTTTCAAAAAACCCATCATCTCAAAATAGGTCCATGTTGGTTTATAATTATTTGCACCATCTCCCGAACAAGAAAATGAAACTTTTTTCAGTTCTCGACGATATTTATCTTTCCAACGAGATGTCACTTCTTCTTCTGAAAACATAAAAAATTTTATTGATATAATATTTTTCGTTTAATTGATATTATATTTTTTTAGAATTAATTGATATTATATTTATAAACATTTGGCCCATGAATTTAGAGTTGGATATTCAACAGTCTCGGTAATAGTTAAGGAAACTTGTCCAATAATTTGGGAATAACTAGTAGAAGATCACATGCCTACTCCTAGCCAAGAACAATTGGAACAAATTATCCGAGAATTTAATACGCTCTGGAACTTTCCAAACTGTTTTGGAACGATTGTCGGAAAACACTGTCAAATAATTTGTCCACCCAATTCTGGAACGACGTATTTTAATTATCTTAAATATTTTTCCCTCGGTTTACAAGGAATCGCAGATGCCAAAAAATGTACCTCCAGAACAAGCACTCCCCAACTCCAATGTTTTTTTTACCAAAGGTTATGATAGGAGACGAAGCATATCCTTTAAAAACTTATTTGATAAGACCATATCCGCGTCCAAGAAATGGCGTTTTAAACAACGATAGGCAAATTTTTAATGATCGTCTGTCATGTGCTCGAAAATGCATTGAAGATGCATTTGATATATCGACGCCTCCAAAAGAAAACATTGTAAGTGACAATTTCAAATTTTACAGGAGAGCGATTTGAAATTTGACGACTCTTAAATCGCTCCTAGTCTTTCAGAAATGACTAAAACTTTTCTGCGACTTTTTGATTACCTTTTTCGGAAGGTCACAAAATAGTTTGTGGGGGCGATTTGTTTATTAAACTTAGTTTTAGGCTTTTTTGTATGACTTACAATTATGCTAAAACACAATTTCAGCAGAAAAAACATTGTATTGGCACTTACATTGTTTTTGTCCGGAATTTTTTTTAAGAACGTGAATTGTAATGCTTTTTAAAATTTTGAAACCTTAAGACATTTCCAAACAAAAACATTGTAAGAGACTTTACAATGTATAATTTCTTAGAGAAAAAAGAAAAAAAAATTAAGCTTTATTCAAAAAACAGAAAACCTGTTCTAAATTATGTAGTAAAACATGAACATAAAAATGTGTTATATTAGTCAGAATCATTATCGCGAACATCTTCTGAAAATGTTAGGGACTCGTAGAAATAGCGATATGTTTCAGGTACCTTATTCTTTAAAAACTGTAAGTGCTCATACGTTTTTTTAGTAAGAGGAATTTTAGAGCTGTAGCATTGTTTTAGTTCTTGTAAGTCTTTTGTAGATCCAGATAATCGTGTCGTTTTATTTGTTAACTGTAGAATAACAGGTTCATTGTCGTCATAATCATACTTAAGGAGGATATTTTCGGGATTTTCTTTTTCAATTTTTATTTCCTTGATGTTGTTCCAACAAATTTTTCTATTTTCGGAATCCTTCAAAAATTTTTTGAAATTTTCACTGAATTTTTTAAAATCGTAAAAATTTGTTTGACTCATTTCATGCACCTTTTATGGTTTTCCCGAGATTTTAGCCATTTTTACTAACTGAATGAACTGGTCAGGTGTGAATAAATCCATTTTTCTTTTCTTTTTTTCTATTAAAGCATGAATGCTGTCATTCTCGTTTTGTGTATGGCCGGGCTCAAGAAACCTATACGATCCCAATGTATTTTTATGGTTGGAGAATAAGTCATCCATGCTCCTGCAAGTCTTGCATTTCGTGGTATGCATGTTCTTCATAATATTATATATATAATTGGCCACCTCGGTCTCATCAAAAAGTAATAATAATATATAAATATAAATTTTTATTAAAATTTGTTGTTTTTTTTTAAATAAAATTGTAAATACTTATATACCCACTTACCTCTTCATACATGGTCCTTATTTTTGGGGTTAAAAAGTGCTTGTGCCGGATTAACCCCCCGACCAAGGTTACACACCTCATTTTACCGGATTTCTCAATCCGGTAAAAGTTGACGGCCCTTTTGACATCTCTAAAAATTGTAGAGGAACCGTACTTTTCTAAATATTCTATGACACGATGAAGCGATCCCAAAGTATTTTTGTGATTTGAGAATAAGTCCTCCATGCACCTGCAAGTTTTGCATTTTGTGCTGTGCATGTTCTTCATAATGTCAATTAATGTAAAAATAATAATAAATGTAGAGGAACCGTACTTTTCTAAATATTCTATGACACGATGAAGCGATCCCAAAGTATTTTTGTGATTTGAGAATAAGTCCTCCATGCACCTGCAAGTTTTGCATTTTGTGCTGTGCATGTTCTTCATAATGTCAATTAATGTAAAAATAATAATAAATGTCTAACAAAACCTCGAACAAAACTATGCATGTTCTAAATATTCTATGACACGATGAAGCGATCCCAAAGTATTTTTGTGATTTGAGAATAAGTCCTCCATGCACCTGCAAGTTTTGCATTTTGTGATGTGCATGTTCTTCATAATGTCAATTAATGTAAAAATAATAATAAATGTAGAGGAACCGTACTTTTCTAAATATTCTATGACACGATGAAGCGATCCCAAAGTATTTTTGTGATTTGAGAATAAGTCCTCCATGCACCTGCAAGTTTTGCATTTTGTGCTGTGCATGTTCTTCATAATGTCAATTAATGTAAAAATAATAATAAATGTCCAACAAAACCTCGAACAAAACTATGCATGTTCTAAATATTCTATGACACGATGAAGCGATCCCAAAGTATTTTTGTGATTTTAGAATAAGTCCTCCATGCACCTGCAAGTTTTGCATTTTGTGCTGTGCATGTTCTTCATAATGTCAATTAATGTAAAAATAATAATAAATGTCTAACAAAACCTCGAACAAAACTATGCATGTTCTAAATATTCTATGACACGATGAAGCGATCCCAAAGTATTTTTGTGATTTGAGAATAAGTCCTCCATGCACCTGCAAGTTTTGCATTTTGTGCTGTGCATGTTCTTCATAATGTCAATTAATGTAAAAATAATAATAAATGTAGAGGAACCGTACTTTTCTAAATATTCTATGACACGATGAAGCGATCCCAAAGTATTTTTGTGATTTGAGAATAAGTCCTCCATGCACCTGCAAGTTTTGCATTTTGTGCTGTGCATGTTCTTCATAATGTCAATTAATGTAAAAATAATAATAAATGTCTAACAAAACCTCGAACAAAACTATGCATGTTCTAAATATTCTATGACACGATGAAGCGATCCCAAAGTATTTTTGTGATTTGAGAATAAGTCCTCCATGCACCTGCAAGTTTTGCATTTTGTGCTGTGCATGTTCTTCATAATGTCAATTAATGTAAAAATAATAATAAATGTCTAACAAAACCTCGAACAAAACTATGCATGTTCTAAATATTCTATGACACGATGAAGCGATCCCAAAGTATTTTTGTGATTTGAGAATAAGTCCTCCATGCACCTGCAAGTTTTGCATTTTGTGCTGTGCATGTTCTTCATAATGTCAATTAATGTAAAAATAATAATAAATGTCTAACAAAACCTCGAACAAAACTATGCATGTTCTAAATTTTCTATGACACGATGAAGCGATCCCAAAGTATTTTTGTGATTTGAGAATAAGTCCTCCATGCACCTGCAAGTTTTGCATTTTGTGCTGTGCATGTTCTTCATAATGTCAATTAATGTAAAAATAATAATAAATGTCTAACAAAACCTCGAACAAAACTATGCATGTTCTAAATATTCTATGACACGATGAAGCGATCCCAAAGTATTTTTGTGATTTGAGAATAAGTCCTCCATGCACCTGCAAGTTTTGCATTTTGTGCTGTGCATGTTCTTCATAATGTCAATTAATGTAAAAATAATAATAAATGTCTAACAAAACCTCGAACAAAACTATGCATGTTCTAAATATTCTATGACACGATGAAGCGATCCCAAAGTATTTTTGTGATTTGAGAATAAGTCCTCCATGCACCTGCAAGTTTTGCATTTTGTGCTGTGCATGTTCTTCATAATGTCAATTAATGTAAAAATAATAATAAATGTAGAGGAACCGTACTTTTCTAAATATTCTATGACACGATGAAGCGATCCCAAAGTATTTTTGTGATTTGAGAATAAGTCCTCCATGCACCTGCAAGTTTTGCATTTTGTGCTGTGCATGTTCTTCATAATGTCAATTAATGTAAAAATAATAATAAATGTCTAACAAAACCTCGAACAAAACTATGCATGTTCTAAATATTCTATGACACGATGAAGCGATTCCAAAGTATTTTTGTGATTTGAGAATAAGTCTTCCATGCACCTGCAAGTTTTGCATTTTGTGCTGTGCATGTTCTTCATAATGTCAATTAATGTAAAAATAATAATAAATGTCTAACAAAACCTCGAACAAAACTATGCATGTTCTAAATATTCTATGACACGATGAAGCGATCTCAAAGTATTTTTGTGATTTGAGAATAAGTCCTCCATGCACCTGCAAGTTTTGCATTTTGTGCTGTGCATGTTCTTCATAATGTCAATTAATGTAAAAATAATAATAAATGTCTAACAAAACCTCAAACAAAACTATGCATGTTCTAAATATTCTATGACACGATGAAGCGATCCCAAAGTATTTTTGTGATTTGAGAATAAGTCCTCCATGCACCTGCAAGTTTTGCATTTTGTGCTGTGCATGTTCTTCATAATGTCAATTAATGTAAAAATAATAATAAATGTAGAGGAACCGTACTTTTCTAAATATTCTATGACACGATGAAGCGATCCCAAAGTATTTTTGTGATTTGAGAATAAGTCCTCCATGCACCTGCAAGTTTTGCATTTTGTGCTGTGCATGTTCTTCATAATGTCAATTAATGTAAAAATAATAATAAATGTCTAACAAAACCTCGAACAAAACTATGCATGTTCTAAATATTCTATGACACGATGAAGCGATCCCAAAGTATTTTTGTGATTTGAGAATAAGTCCTCCATGCACCTGCAAGTTTTGCATTTTGTGCTGTGCATGTTCTTCATAATGTCAATTAATGTAAAAATAATAATAAATGTAGAGGAACCGTACTTTTCTAAATATTCTATGACACGATGAAGCGATCCCAAAGTATTTTTGTGATTTGAGAATAAGTCCTCCATGCACCTGCAAGTTTTGCATTTTGTGCTGTGCATGTTCTTCATAATGTCAATTAATGTAAAAATAATAATAAATGTCTAACAAAACCTCGAACAAAACTATGCATGTTCTAAATATTCTATGACACGATGAAGCGATCCCAAAGTATTTTTGTGATTTGAGAATAAGTCCTCCATGCACCTGCAAGTTTTGCATTTTGTGCTGTGCATGTTCTTCATAATGTCAATTAATGTAAAAATAATAATAAATGTAGAGGAACCGTACTTTTCTAAATATTCTATGACACGATGAAGCGATCCCAAAGTATTTTTGTGATTTGAGAATAAGTCCTCCATGCACCTGCAAGTTTTGCATTTTGTGCTGTGCATGTTCTTCATTATGTCAATTAATGTAAAAATAATAATAAATGTAGAGGAACCGTACTTTTCTAAATATTCTATGACACGATGAAGCGATCCCAAAGTATTTTTGTGATTTGAGAATAAGTCTTCCATGCACCTGCAAGTTTTGCATTTTGTGCTGTGCATGTTCTTCATAATGTCAATTAATGTAAAAATAATAATAAATGTCTAACAAAACCTCGAACAAAACTATGCATGTTCTAAATATTCTATGACGCGATGAAGCGATCCCAAAGTATTTTTGTGATTTGAGAATAAGTCCTCCATGCACCTGCAAGTTTTGCATTTTGTGCTGTGCATGTTCTTCATAATGTCAATTAATGTAAAAATAATAATAAATGTCTAACAAAACCTCGAACAAAACTATGCATGTTCTAAATATTCTATGACACGATGAAGCGATCCCAAAGTATTTTTGTGATTTGAGAATAAGTCTTTCATGCACCTGCAAGTTTTGCATTTTGTGCTGTGCATGTTCTTCATAATGTCAATTAATGTAAAAATAATAATAAATGTCTAACAAAACCTCGAACAAAACTATGCATGTTCTAAATATTCTATGACACGATGAAGCGATCCCAAAGTATTTTTGTGATTTGAGAATAAGTCCTCCATGCACCTGCAAGTTTTGCATTTTGTGCTGTGCATGTTCTTCATAATGTCAATTAATGTAAAAATAATAATAAATGTCTAACAAAACCTCGAACAAAACTATGCATGTTCTAAATATTCTATGACAAACAAAACTATGCATGTTCTAAATATTCTATGACACGATGAAGCGATCCCAAAGTATTTTTGTGATTTGAGAATAAGTCCTCCATGCACCTGCAAGTTTTGCATTTTGTGCTGTGCATGTTCTTCATAATGTCAATTAATGTAAAAATAATAATAAATGTCTAACAAAACCTCGAACAAAACTATGCATGTTCTAAATTTTCTATGACACGATGAAGCGATCCCAAAGTATTTTTGTGATTTGAGAATAAGTCCTCCATGCACCTGCAAGTTTTGCATTTTGTGCTGTGCATGTTCTTCATAATGTCAATTAATGTAAAAATAATAATAAATGTCTAACAAAACCTCGAACAAAACTATGCATGTTCTAAATATTCTATGACACGATGAAGCGATCCCAAAGTATTTTTGTGATTTGAGAATAAGTCCTCCATGCACCTGCAAGTTTTGCATTTTGTGCTGTGCATGTTCTTCATAATGTCAATTAATGTAAAAATAATAATAAATGTAGAGGAACCGTACTTTTCTAAATATTCTATGACACGATGAAGCGATCCCAAAGTATTTTTGTGATTTGAGAATAAGTCCTCCATGCACCTGCAAGTTTTGCATTTTGTGCTGTGCATGTTCTTCATAATGTCAATTAATGTAAAAATAATAATAAATGTCTAACAAAACCTCGAACAAAACTATGCATGTTCTAAATATTCTATGACACGATGAAGCGATCCCAAAGTATTTTTGTGATTTGAGAATAAGTCCTCCATGCACCTGCAAGTTTTGCATTTTGTGCTGTGCATGTTCTTCATAATGTCAATTAATGTAAAAATAATAATAAATGTAGAGGAACCGTA